TGTTTAAAGAAACTTGGAACGCAATTTACTTTTTTTTTTTTTGGCCTATTGTCCAGTTCACACATTTGTATGATTCGATACCTGTGTTTAAAGAAACTTGGAACACAATTAACTTGTATTTACATGTAAATTATGATACTGCTTTTGTCTAGTTCACACATTTGTGTGATTTGATATAAAAAAAGCAGGTAAAAATCAAGCGTTTATATCTATCTCTGAATACTGCCAACCCCTCTTACGAGCCTTATATGAACATTAATAGCGAGCTCGACGAGCTGGCCCGAAGGGCCTGCTCGCAAAGCGAGCTTTACGGTAACGCGAGTACCTGCTAAGTGATGGTTTTGAAAACTTTCGTTCGAAGTACCGAATTGGACACATCGCAACCTTTCGAATTTAAAGATAACGATAAAAACTGAGGAATTCTGACTGAAAACGGATGTGTAGACTGGTCACCCGCGCACGTCTATGGGAACCATAATTGGACAGGAAACCAGAATAACGGAAGCTGTCCGGAAATGTAAAATGAAAATTGAAGGCGCCATTTTGTTTGAAAAATCTGATAAATTAAAACAATTTTTTGTCGAATTTTGTTGTGAAAACTATCTAGAATGAAAGAAAATGGTCTAACTAAGAAAATGAATCCGAACACCAATATCTTTTATTCAGTCGTTAACTCTGTACAGACGTTTAAAGTATTGTTTACGTGACGTCACAATGAAGCGCCAAACAGCACGTGCAAAACAAACAAATCAAGTACGCTATTTTAATGTCACAAACGTTTTAAGTTTAACATTTATTTCACTTTTAATAATCTTTATTTCGCTTGAAAAATTATTGAGTGAAATAAAATAAACAAAGTTTTATCAACGTTTTCAAAACTCGTTATTCATTTAACGACAGGGGCGGAGCCATATTTAACACAGTACGTGTAACGTCACACGCACTCGTCAATGCATTTGAAATAAAATGCGCGATTATTTAATACTACTTCACGTAAAAAGTACATCGAGCTCGCTTTGAGGCTTTGCCTTTTTCATATTATACTGCTATTGCACAGGACATACTCACATGTCTGTAATTTAAGGTGAAAATGGCTCGGGGCAATAATTTTTATGCAACTGCAAGGAATGTCAGACGTTTCACTCCCAAGACGTTTCACTATTGAGACGTTTCACTCCCAAGACGGTTCACACCTAGACGTTTCACTCCCATTTTGTCAATTGTATGGACGTTTCACTCCCAATTTTTAGAGATGTTTACTAGGAAAGTTAACAAATTTTAATTTCATTAATATCAAACAGTGTAAAAAGGAAATTCAATTTAATGTTTCATTTTGTTGATTTCAATGGTATTGTTAATACAAATTATTAGAAGATTACTCATTTAATTATGGGTTGAGTGATAAGAGGTGTAAATGAAAGACAAATTTCTGAAATATCACTTTTATTATAAGTGTAACAACATGAGAAAATTCTATATATAGTAATTTAAAAAAAAAATAGAATAACAAAGACATATTATAAGTATCAGTTTAAATATTGAAATCACTACCAGTAAAGTAATTAATATTATTCAAATAATAAAAAATATCAATATATTAAATATATTGACTATATAATGATTATTTTTTGTAAGTCTTAAACAATCAAATGCAAAACATGTGTATAAAATAAATTATTTTTTAAAATTATTTTCTTCATCAATTTATTAAACAGTAGCCATTAAACAAACTTAAGTAATTGTGGTGTTATCTCATCGCCTAATTAATTGTATAAACACTGAGACTATCAACTACAGTTTGACACCACTATTAAATCAGTTGTATAAACACTGCACTATTAAAAGTATCAACAGTTTACTAATCAGTTGTTTATTGGACCATTAAAATATTTTTTGACAATAGCCAATTTAAACACAGAAACTTCTCCATAAGTTTTGTTTATATAATAATGAATTTTAGTCACAGAAAATGATTAAACATGACAAATATTGAAAAAGACCCAAGTATATCATAAGTATCAAAATAATTTTGGTATAAAAAGGGAGTGAAACGTCTTCAAGTCGTTTCACTCCCATTTGGGAGTGAACCGTCTTGGTGTGAACCGTCTTGGTGTGAACCGTCTCAATAGTGAAACGTCTGTCTACCACTGCAAGAAATGATTAGATCAGAAACTAAAGATGACAAAATACAAACAAATAAGAACTGCCCTGTTGCCTCTGTATCATGTTTAAGTACCATCAGTACAGGCATGTAAACAGAATGGTCAAAACACACGTGAATTGAGTTTCAATACTGTAATTAAACAACCGGAAGTAACTTAGTGAGTAATTTCCAGACAAAGTTTATACATAAAACAAGATTCACAAACCTGTCTGCCGTCTGTTCAACACCATGTATGAAAATAAAGAAAAGAAAATAATAAATAAACAATGATGACGGATAGCTTCGATACGAAATGCAGGAAAACAAGCAAAAAAGTCCAGTTTAAAAATAATTAATTGACCAAAACATACCGGCCGCCATTTTATTTGATAGGAATACCCGCCAAGTGACGTCATTACATAATCTAAACGCGGAAAAATCTCTTTTCTGCGAAAGGGTATCATTATTTAGACAAAGACACCTACCAGTTTCCATAATAAATCTCAACAAATGACTCATTTTACTTTCAATTTAACCCGTTCCCCATATTTATAGAAGTAGTAGACCTAGATCTATATACAATATACATTTGTATTTGCTGTAGATCTGTATATTATCACGGTCTGGATTTATATTACAATATAAATCCGTGATATTGTATGCACAATGCTATAAAATCAAGTAATCCTTCTTTAATAATCATACAATATTGCATGAACATTTTTTAGAGATAATATATTGAATTTGTAACACTGATTTAAAAAAATCAAAAGACATTTCGCTATATTCACAAGCTAATGAAAGCAAATCTTTTTTAAACAACGGCATTGAAACACCATAAACAACAAAATTAGCAGTACTGAAAAGGTGACTATTTTAATGTTTTGCATTTTAATAACGCCATAGATTCAGAGTATGTGCAACCGAATCTGATCAACATAACAACTCAACTCTTGCTACATTGACTTACATAGATTTGTCTCCCTTCGATCTGGAATAATAAAAAGAGGGTTTCGATTTGCGGTTTTCATCTTTGAATATTTTAACACTCATTTCAAGTGTTTAAGTTTATATTACCTACAAAAAGAAGAAAATCATTCAAGAGATGAATTCATGAGATTTCAGAAAATGTAACATGCTTATCTCAACAATGTTTTATTCCAGGGTTTCTGCGAATTATCCGTTACACTGTTTTAAAGAATTCATCCAAAGCTCTAAACTAATATGTTTTCTTTTTCAATACATTGTGGGATCGATTGTAATATATTTCAGAATAAGATACGGAATAAGTTAAAAAGATAAATAGTAACAGAAATTAAATTTTGCATTTTAGTACGTTAGAAAAAGTATTTATTTCCTTCCCTTTATAAAAAAAAGAGCCGCTTTGAAGACAGAAACCTTAGATCGGATAACTAGACGGAAACCCAGCACAAAAAATAAACAAACCAAAAATGTATCGCCTAGCCAGTTTTCATTACATGTTCGAAATATATGATGATAATTATTTATTATCAAATTATCAAAGTTTAGAAACAAGTGATTTATTTTGTTTTCGAACTTTTCAGTAGATAAGTACAGTCAAAATTAGAAAAAATGACTTGTTTTGATTTAAAACATTCCAAATGTCACCTATAATATATTCCCAAGAATAAATTTCATTTTTCATTAATTATTTATTCATATCCATTTATATTGATAAATTATAGAATTACATCAAATTTAAAATTATGAACACCGCGCTTAAACTAATTAAATATGTCGTTCTTACGAAATGTCCCTCCAGAGCTTCAGTAAAATCGTATTTCTCAGGTACATAAAAACCAGGACAGCATGTTGGTATAAAATCAGGTCACCCCAGAGCCTCCGTACTTTCGCAATAACATATTCACGTAAACGACTAAACTTCTTCACTCGTGTATTTATAATAACAGTGTATAAACAGCCCTTTTTGGTATTTGGACAGAATACGAATTTAAAACGTTGAGTTAAAAATCTTTTGATGGATTTAAAAACTGAAGTGTCTTTTTTAAGAACTTTCAAGTTTGGTTCTAATAAATAAAATATTTGTGAAATCATCTTCGATAAACACTACAACGGTTCACATTCATTGCTTTTCGTGAATTGAAACCTATAAAATATGGCGATCGAACATTGGACATTCCGTTTGTTTACACTGTGCTTGTATATAGGTTTGTTAGCATGTAGTCCTTGCATTTTCACCTCAGAAATCAGTACCGAGAAGAAATTGAACAAATCCGTTTTTGAATCTCATGGAGCGATAATGTTTATGTTGGAAGGACATCAGGACAATTGCTACATTGATTTAGATTTTGTGTTTGGGTTGATTCATAATAACACCTTAGAGACTGCAATGAAGCATAAAAATACAACAAAAGAAGTCCTCCTGAAAGAATGCGGCTTTTTCTGTTCGAGTAGCATATCCGTACATTTTTTCACAAAAAAAAATCAACATTTGATACAACTTCCAGTCATGCAAACCTGTCTGTGGCACTTGTTTGGCAGATGCTCAGTTTATTTGGAGGAATTATCTTTGATTGCAAAATATGGAGTTATTTGGTCGATCGTTCCAAGTGACGCTCTGATACATGTTCCGTCACAGAAAACAAAGTGTGCATTTACTAAGCAAATACGAATAATTCATTCGAAAATAAACTGCGTATCAGAGACTAAGTTTTTCTGGGAATTTTGCGATGAAGTTTTTGAAAAGGTAAATATCTTATAACTAGAAGCGTGTGCGACAAATATTGTAATAAACAATGCAAATTTTAACTCAAATCAAAGTGAGATATTTAGAAATGTGACCGGACTCTACAAGGTGGAAATTTCTAATAACACAATGACAGAAATCAACGCATTCTTGTTTAGAAACCAGGCAGACATTAAAATCATCAATTCACACCGGAATAAACGAAATACTATCCGAGCAAACATTTTTGAAGATCAACACTATTTGCTGTCTCTCGACCAGTCTTTTAATAATTTGTCTTCGCTAGATCGAAACCTATTGAAAAATCAACAATTTCTACACGAGTTTCACATAGAAAACAACCGTCTACAAGCACTGCCGCATGATTTTCTGAAAGAACAATTGAGTTCTCTAAAGTTTGTGTACTTGTATTCGAACCCAATTATGACAATCCCAGTTATGCCTTTGTACGGAGCACGTATAGAGATAATTTATGTTCACGGCAGCGAAATTACGGGAGAAAACCTGATAAATCTGGCCAACAATATTAAGATCTATGATTTTCTTTACAGAATGGAATTAAAGTCAAATGCAAACGACAGAGCAGAATCCCTCCAACGACCACTTCTTGATTTGTCATTTTGCAAAATAAGAGATATTCACTCGAATTCAAATGTAAAAAGCCAGACTTCTATGGTTATTTTGCAGTTATTTAAAACATTTAGCATTAAAGGTAATGGAAACCCGTTTAAATGTAACTGTGGTCTGTATAACATAAGACTTCTATTTACAATTATAGAAACACAAACATTAAGATTGGACTGGGTTTGTGAATATCCAGAGGAACTTAAAGAAAGAAAAGTAACTAGTCTTACGGGCAGAGATATATACTGTCCCATCAATGTTACCGACTGTCCGAGATTGTGTATCTGCTATGTTAGGTACGATTTTAGTTCATATATTGTCGACTGCCGAAATATCAATATGTCAATATTACCGCTTGTAATGCCAAAAGTACCATTGGAAGTATGGTTCAAGAACACAGGTCTTCTGAAACTAGATCAAAGAGACAATTTGGTAAACGTATCTGTCTTGGACATTTCTGAAAACAAACTAGCACGTATTCAACCACTAACTGCGCCAATGTTACAAAATGTCAACGTTTTGAATATAGAATACAATTACTTTACATCACTTCCGGTACAAATAAGATACACAAACATTAAAAGTCTATATTTAGACGGGAATCCATTAAAGTGTGACTGTCACACAAAGTGGATGATAGACTGGCTACACGACAGATCGTACCCAGTCATGGATTGGAACGCTATACAATGTACAGACAACGCCAAGAGGGTCAATACTTTTGTCACCACTCCAGATTCTGTATTCGTATGCCAGGAGATTGAAACACCAAGTATTGCAGAGCACGTGGTATTCCCGTCAACCATTATTGGATCTTTTGTGTTCATAATCCTTATTCTGTCCCTAACCATCTACTTTCAACGGTTTACAGTTAGAGTCTTACTTTATATGATATTTGGAATCAGATTATGCTATAGACTGGATAATGACCATGGCGATGTAAAATACGATAGTGTTGTTATTTACGACAAAGATGATCAAAACTTTGTCAACAGAAACATTAAAAGTCATCTTAGAGTACTGAACTATGATGTAGCCGATATTTACGACGACTCTGTCATTGGATTAACATTTATTGATGGAATTAAAAAGTTGATTTGTAATTCAAAAGTTACAATATTCTTTCTGACAAAAAATAGTTTAGATAATGACTTAATTATAACTTTATGGAACATTACCTCACGACGAGTTCTCAAAAGAAATTTAGGTTCTATTATACTCGTACTAGACAAAGAATTTCGGAAAAAATATACGGAGGAAATTATGCGTTTGTACGTCAAAACCGGTAGATACATCAAAAAGGATTCATCACTATTGCTTAAAAGTATACAATATCTAATGCCACCTCAAAAACCCCTTACCCAGAACCCGGAATCTAATGATAACGATTTAGACTTTGAAGATATTGGAGCAGGCGATGTGTATTTAACAGAACAAAATCATCGAATCGCTACGAGCACCTTTGATGAAAACTTTGATGAGAGGCAACCAGACATTTTTATAGTTTTTCCTGATGGAATTGATGAATTACACAAACTTGTTAGGTATACCATAATACCATTTCTTCTTGAAAGAAACCAAATAGCTAGTGTTCTTCAAGATGATTTTGTCTTTGGTGAAGATATCAGGGTAGGCATAGAAAGTAGACTTAATAAAGTGAAACATGTAATCTTTATTTTATCGGAGGCAATTTTGGAGGATGAAGTCTCGCAGTACATCCTGTGCGCCATTCTTACCAAAGCATTTCTGTGTAGCGGTAATTATTTGCTGCTTTTTACATATGGTCAGATTGATGAAAATAAAATGCCGGAGAACGTGAAGAAATTTGTAAATAGCCACATAACAGCCAGTATTAGTGATACCAACTTTAAAGAGCGAATACTAGAAGCTCTAACTTTCGAAGAAAACCAAGTCATTGACAATGAGGATACAGAAAGTGTAGCAATAGAGAACTGTGAAGATGATGAAAAATTAATCTAAAATTTATTTGTACATGTATAACATTCAGAAATGATACTGTGATAACGAAGTCTTATCTTGGTTTGTTAATTGATTAAGAGATATTCTATACACTAAAATGTTTTAAATTGTAGTTTTGTTATTCTATTCACCTTAAACCTATAGATTAGAAAAAAACTGATGTAGACCTGTCTGTCTCGACTTAGATATGACCATGACGTTTTGATTTTCAAGGTTACGATTCCTATAAAAATTATATGGAGGCAGCATGTGTTAGCACATGATTTAAGAAAGAGCCATTTTAAGATCAAATATTTTTACTTTTCTTTTCATATTTACTTACTTACTATGTTTAATTACAAGCAATTGTTAATGTAGCTTTTGTTGAGCATTTCCGTAGACATACTTAGCTGGTTGACGCCATATCGTAGTTTGGTCTTGCACCTCAAACTATAAATAAAAAATGCGAAAACACGAAAGAATGACCTTCTCACTTCCCCTCGGAGCGTGCACGTCGCTGAGAAGGCACAGGGCATCGGCAGAAGATTTGAAGACTGGGGGACGACGAAAAAAGATCGAAACTTGTGCTGCGGACCAGCTGCCGGTGTCCTGACTAATGCCGAGGGGAGTTGCCCTACAAAGTAGGCGCTTGGGTCGACGAGGACGGTGTGGTAGGGTGCATGAGCCCCTAGCACGGTTAGACGGCTTGAACGGCATGCCTTTTGCTGGCGCAAACAGCCCTTTTCAGGGATTCCCTTTCATATTGTCACAGGTTACTGTACATTTAGGTTCTCATTGACCGCCGTACAGTGACCTGCTCAAAATTCATAACTTTGGCTAATACTCCGTGGAAATTGCATGGAGGTAAATTATCACCACTTTGTGCTTCAAAATTAACTCTTTAAGGACATGACTGGTGACATGTCCGGGGTCCGTACTCGACAGCGAAAGCTGCATTTTGTGCCCGAAAGGGCGGATGGACCCTCATTAAGTTTTAACTTCATCATCATCGAAAGAATGACAAAACGTTTTCGAGCGACAATTTTTTGACGCGTTTTTTTTTTTTTTGCGACATAAAAAAGGCCGATAATATAACACTTCGTGTTCGAATTTTCGTGGCGAAAAATTCTAGAATACAACACGGCGTACATCGGTCGACATACCATCATAACTTTTACGAATGAATACAATTTGAGGATGGTCTAATAACTCTGTACATAAATTTTTAACTTGGAAGTTCAACTTGATATTAGATATAGGATTGAATTTTTGTTGCTATGGAAAATGATAAAAAAAGAAACCTCGCTCTGCTACCATGTTAAGTGTTAGGTTTTATTCACTTTAGTTATTTTGCACAAATTTAAAAACTTTCTGGAGATGTAGAATCAAACCCAGGTCCAATTTTTAGCAAGAAAAATTGTCTGTCAATTATTCACCAAAACATTAGAAGCATACGCCATAAATTTGAGTATATTAAGGAAATTTTTTAGAAACTGATGTGTTATGTTTTACTGAGATCAAATTAGATTTCAATTTTGCAGATAAAGAATAACAATTATCGGGTTTTGATTTCATGTTTCGTGAAGATAAATCGTGTCGCTCGGGTGGATTCTTGTTTACGTTTCATCATTTCTTAGACCCAAACGCGTTGTCTCCTTTGAAAATATAGTTCCTGATTATATTTGGGTTGAAATAAAATATAAAAATCAGACTTATTTATTATGTACATTATATAGACTTCCTCACTATAGAGTTGACTTTTGGTACAAATTAAACTCGTGCTTAGAAATGGCTCTGGAACACAAACAACACTTAATATTAGTAGGAGATGTAAATGAAGATAAGCTCAACATGCAAAATCATAAATTTAAAGATATACTTTTGACAATTAATATGAAATTATTATTAATAGCCCGACCAGGGTAAACCATAATTCGCAAACTCTTCTCGACCCTATCGCATTAACAAACACTATTCAAGTTTTTGATTCAGGAGTTTTTGAAACAGATAATGAAATAAGTGACCATTATGGAACATTTGCTTATTTAAAGGTTGATTTCGATTCAAATAAGCCATTTAAAAGGAAAATTTGGAACTATAAAAATGCAGATATTGTTAAACTCAATAATTTAATAAGAGATACTGACTGGACCTTTGTAAATAATTTAAATATAAATGAAGCTTGTAATACTTTTACATTAAAATTCATGGATTTAGTTAATCAGTGCATCCCGTCCTATTTTGCATTAATAAGGCCAAAAGATAAGCAATGATTAAACATTAATATTCGTAAAAGGTTAAGGCAGAGAGACAGATTATTTTACAAAGCAATAAATAGTAATAAAACGTCAGATTGGACTAAATATAACCAAATTCGAAACAATGTAATCTATATGAAGAAAAACGCAAAAGAGTTATTTTACAATACTTTAGAATCTTAAGAGCTCAAACCCTCGACAAAATTGTTAAAATGTTAGTTAAGAATAATTCAGCTGAAAACGATTCTATACCACCTTTAAGAAATAATAATAACACATTCTCCTTATCAGACTTAGACAAAGTCAATACTTTAAACTCTCTCTTCAGTTCAATCTCTCAGTTGGATGATTCAAATACCCAACTTCCAGACTTTAGTTTTAAAACAAATTCAAGACTAGAAGACTTTAGTATTTGTGAACAAGAAATAAAAGATGCATTAACAAATTTATTTACAAATAAAGCTTCTGGACCAGACGAAATAAGCCATAAAATTTTGAAAGGAACTTCGGAAACCTTATGTATTCCACTGTGTATATTTTCTAATCATTCGTTAAATGAAGGTTACTATCCTAGCAGTTGGAAGCTTGCACATGTTATGCATCTTTTTAAAAAGGGAAATAAAGATGAACCATTAAATTATAGACCTATTTCATTAATAAGCTGTGTTGGTAAAGTAATGGAAAGCATATTTTTTAAACACATAAGTATAATTATCTCCATTCAAATTCTTTAATATATCAAAATCAATCCGGGTTTTTGCCAGGTCATTCTACAGAGTATCAACTTTTTGATATATATAACCAAATTTGCAAAGCATTTGACAGCAATTATTATACTTGTATTATTTTTTGACATTTCAAAAGCATTCGATAGAGTTTGGCATTCTGGTCTTATCTATACGCTATACAAGGGAAACTAAATGCATGGTTAAAAGACTTCTTAGATAACAGAACCCAAAACGTTTTCGTCTCTTCGACATTTCTTCTTTATCAACTTTAGACAGGGGCGTTCCTCAATGTTCGGTACTTGGTCCTTTATTATTTTTAATATATGTCAATGACATAGCAGACTCACTCTTAAGTATTACTAGACTTTTCGCAGACGACAGTTCTCTTTCAGTGTACTCAAAAAACATAACCTTTATGGAAGAAACTTTAAACAGTGATCTAGCGACAATAACAAGTTGGTCTAAGCAATGGTTAGTCAATTTCAATCCGGCAAAAACCGAAGCAATCTTTTTTTTTTTTTTTTTTTTTTGTTTTTTTTTTTAATATGATCAAATCACAACTATTTTTTGACAATGTACAACTCAATTTTGTCGAACGTCATAAACATCTTGGGGTCACATTTAGTCAACATGGGTCTTGGCTTCAACATGTATCTCACAGAGTATCTTAAGCCTCTAAAATACTCGGTTCCATGAAAATGCTCAAATAGAATCACTTAATAATATATATGTATCATTTTACGTCCACATTTAGAATACACGTCGTTTGTCTGGGATAACTGTGCCCAATACGAGAAAGAAACATCAGAAAAAAATCAATATGAAGCTGTCCATGTTGTTACAGGATTGACAAGATCCGCTACTGTACAAAAATTATTAACAGAAACAGGTTGGGTTTCGCTTTCAGATAGGAAACAAATTCAAAAATTAGTTTTAATACACAAAGGCAAAAACAATTTATTACCACTTTATTTAATGCAATTATTTCCCCCATCTGTACAATATGCACATGAAAACCCATATTTTTTAAGAAACAATCAAGACTACGTATCAATTGTCAATATTCGAAATCCGTTTTTCCATTAGCACTACAACTATGGAATAAACTTCCAATTAATATACCTGAATCAGAATCCTTCCATTCCTTTAAAGCAAACATTAAAAACAAAATTAAATCGCCATCGGTCCTTTCATTTTTCATTAATGGTGAACGCTTTTCTACTGTACAACATACTCGTTTAAGAAACAACTGCAGTAACCTCAATTCGAATTTATATGATAATCTCATTGTTTCCAGTCCATCTTGTATTTGTGGAGCACACATTGAAAATTCAGAACACTATTTTTTAAGTGCAAATTTTACAGTGGATAAAGACGAACATTGTTTTTAAATACAACATCTTTTTATCCTCTAAGTGTACGAAAACTTTTGTTTGGAAAAGAAGGGCGTTCTGAATTCTTTTTAAAGAAGTACAGACTTTTATTAAATCAAGCAAGAAATCTAATTGAATAAAATCAAATCTTTTTACTGCTGAAACAGTACTTTAAGATTAAATAGGGTTTTGTGCGGTGAATATTCTTGTATTTATTTATTTTTATTTTTTCGTACTTTTTTTGCAAAAAAGAAATTTTGTTACTAATACAATAACTTTATTATTTCATACTATTATTTATTCCATTTTCTCAAAATTTGATACTTAGAACACTTAATTCAAAGGCCATAAATAACTTTAAATGGACAATATATAGACTTTTGAAACATTTAAAATATTTAAATAACGCCATTTAATCATTCTTAGTATCATAATTTTATTATAATGCTTATCTATATTTCTGATTTTTTCATATATTTTTTCTCAATCAATTTCTCATTCGATTTATTTATATTTACATATAAAACATTTATTAAAATTAGTTCCTAAAAATAACTTAAAACTGTAATTGCTAAGTATTTGATATCACACAACTTCATTCAAATAGATTTAGTATAAACTTATTTCTGACTAACCTCAGGGAAAGCCCCACGATAATGTTG